GAATACGTTTTCGTTTTTTTGCATTTATAAATGCTTACATAGTCTATTGGGACTTACTTGTGTAAATGTGAATGGTTTCATAATTATCTGGGATAAAGTAAAATTAGTTAATTTGGAAAGCATTAGTAACTGCCATATTGGCGTAAACAAAGTCTAGTTAGTTTTGATTTGAATGTTTGCAGGCTGTCAGTGGATCATGGCGGCATGGGTTGGACGTAAGATTTGTATCTTATTTTATATTGCTTGAAATTACTCTAGTTTAACTTGTCGTACATAACCAATACTCTAGCAGGATAGTTGAAAGTCTCATTGATATTTTCATAATACATGTGTGGATATTGTATTGACATTTATTCTATGAAATGTGATTTAAATATCACGTGTCCTGGCAAAGACTAACAATACTATCGTGATTTTTTTTCATTACGGCTTTATTAATTTTATTGATACTCTTGATTCATATTATGATATTATCATTATCATTGTTATCATCTTTATCATCCTCATTTTCTTCATCACCCATACATTCACCTCGTAAACAACGAAAATAGATTTTTTTTCACCAGAATCTATTGACAATAAGCTTCCCATATCAATCTTGTATCCTTTATAAATCCTTATGTTTATGTATACTATATATCAATTAAAGTTATATCAATGATAACGTTAAAGTAAACAAGAAGTATTCTCAGTGGATTAATATTTGTTATCCCTGTCATGTATCTGTCTTCGAGAAAGCACTGTATTAATGTACGAATATGTTTGTGTGTTTGTTTATCATAGTTTTAGTATATTCCTTTTTATTTTTATAATTTTTGTTTCCTATTATTGATTTATGAATGCTTATGTATTTATCTATTATGTTCCTATTTTTATTCTTACTATTTGTGTTATTACCAATATCTCTTAACGAATATGTATGTGTTCTTTTATGATCTCTTTAATATCTTCCCCTTTTTTAATCTCATCATTTAAAATTCGATATTACCAATATCTGTTTTATAGGAATTCTCATTACCGTCGGCTTCGAACTGCTGAAGTCTACAAAAAATTGAAAGTAAACAAAACAAAATTTCGACTCGCGTCTCGAAACTTGCATCGAATTCTCGAGCAGTGATCAGTCATGCAGAGGATCCGCTGATGAAAAGTGGGTTGGTGACGTCAGGAAAGAAAGAAAAATAAGAAGAAAGAGAGAGGGGGGAGGGGGGGAGGGAAAGAGGGGCCCCGGAAAGAGAGAGAGGCAGACAGACACAAGAAGGGAGAGCATTTACAAGATAGAGAGAGAAAGTGAAGGGGAAAGAGAGAGAGAGAGGGTGGGGGCATAGAAAGAGAGAGAGAGAGGTGGGGGCATAGAAAGAGAGGAGAAAAGCAAGACAGTGGGGGAGGAGAGAGAGAGAGGGAAAGAGGGGCCCGTAAAAAAGAACATTCACATATAGAGTGAGAGAGAGAGAGAGAGACAGATAGAGCATTTGCAAGATACCGAGAGACAGCGATAGACAGAGAAATCATTTGCAAAAAAGAAATAAGTAAAAAATAAATAAAGCGAGACAGAGAGAGAGAGAGAGAGGGATAGCAAGAACCTGACCACCCCTCCCCCACCCACACACAACCCCCTCCGCTGCCTGCGCTAATATTTACTCAGGCTGCAGACAAAACGCCACTTGGTCGAAAATACCCACCCCGGGCGTGTTACTTTGTAGCCGAAGAGAAGGAGAAGAGAAGAGGAAGACAGTGGCGGAAGAGGAAGGGGCGGAGCCACGGATGGAGGACAGAAAAGTAAAAAAGAAAAAGGAAAGAAAAACAGTGAAGAAGTGATTGAGAAACGGGGAAGAAGGGAATGAAAGAGCGAGAGGGAAAATCAGGTAAAGAGAGGGGAGGGCGAAAAAAAATGGAGATAAAGACTAAAGAATAACTAGAGTATACTCTAAGCATGAACTTGCATCGATGAATGTATACATGGATACGCACATCGATACGCACACACACGTGTTATATATATATTATATATATATATATATATATATATATATATATATATATATATATATATAATATATATACACACATACACACACACACACACACACACACACACACACATACATATATATATATATATATATATATATATATATATATATATATATATATATATATATATATACATATATATATATTATATATATATGATATTTACTTATTTATTTATTTATATATTTGTGTGTGTGTGTATGTATGTGTGTACATATATATACTTATATATACACACATACACACGCACGCACGCATATATATATATATATATATATATATATATATATATATATATATATATATATATATTATATATATATATATACACACACTTTTATACATACATATGTGTGTGTGTGTGTAGGTAGGTAGATAGAAAGATATACATATATGTGTGTGCATATACATACATATACATACATCCACACACAGAAGCACCCACATCCGCACAGCATATGACCTCGGC